TTAATAAAAAGCACAAAAGCCCAGCTTCAAATAATTCTCAACATCTGAGATACACTTTTAATTTGTCAGAGGATCATTTGAAAAAGGTTTTCTGGCTACCGCATAAGGTTTCCTTTAGACCATTCATAAAAGCATTCCAATACAGAGTCCTTAATTCAATACTATTTACCAATACAAAGTTAGTAAAGATAGGTTATATATCAGAGGATAAATGTTCGTTCTGTAAATCAGAACCAGAAACCCTTTACCATATCTTTTTTGTTGTAGCCTTGTGCAACTCTTCTGGAAAAATTTTGAATACTTTTTCTACCTACTGACAAGACAATTCGTCCACCTTACTCTGCAAGATGTCATTATCGGCATAATTTACCCAAGCTACCCTTTACTGAACTATTTGCTTCTAGTCGCTACATTATATGTATGGGATTGCAGAAGAAATCTGACTCCTCCTACCATAAACGCCTTTAAACTAAAGGCAAAAGTTAAGTATGAAACAGAAAAGTTTATGTGAGTTAAAACTGACAACATGGACAAATTTAGTAAGAAGTGGAGTTTGTGCATAGGCTTTGTACCTTAATTAGCAATCTGTTTACAAGTGTGCTTGTACTATGTTTTTACAATCATATGGATTGTAATGTAACTTTTAAATTTGGGTAATATGTGGGTAGGCATTGGTATTGTAATGAAGTGTAAGTAGCTGTAGTACTGTGAGTAAGTAGTTGTATTAGTATTGTAAGTAATGTACGTATATGTATTGTAAACATTATAAGTGTGCGGCAGTAATAATAATAATAATAATAATACAATGCAATAATAATAATAATAATACAATCCAATATGACGATGATGATAATAAATCATTATTATTATTATTATTTTGATATTATTATTACTATTATAATTACTGTATTATTCCTTTTTAACCTTGAAATCTGACATCTTAGTTCCAATAGATTTAAATTACCTCTAAGCTAACGAAACAAATCATTCTTGACTCAAAGTAAACTGTTAAACGTCCATACACAGACGCTCTAATGTCGTTAGATGGGACATACAAGCGAACCTCCATTAAGCAGCCACCCGTTAAGCGGTCATCCCTTATTACACCCTACTATATAAGCAGCCAGATATCAGTCTCAAAATTTTTGTCAGTAAAATTCTGCAAGTAAAACCCCTATTTATCGGCCACCTCTATTAAGCAGCCACGGCCACCTTTTGGTCGTCCCGATGGGGGTTTTCTATTGTCTTTACCCCTATCGAACGGCCACCCAATGTTTGATACACATAGTTTGTCTTTGCTTTGGAAAAGGTGATGACAGACAAGCATCTGAAATAGAAAGTGTCCACCGATAAAAACATCGAGGCGCGCGTTTGTTATTGACTTCAAGTGATTCCATGTTGCCCTAAGCATGTTTGTATTTGAATAAATTGACGTTTCTACAAAGCCCCATGCTAATTCCCGAGGAATCCCTCTTAAGTGGTCACCTCCATTTCTCCAAGGGTGGCTGCTTCAGTGGTAGGGGTGCGGCAGTATTTAATGTAAAGTGCACTTAAATGAATTAGGCCGGGGCGTTCATCATCTGGAGTGTTTTATTGAAAAAGGTGTGCTTATCACTACAAGCAGCAAAGGATCTACAATGGGTGACAAAAGTTTAAAAAGAAATTTTCGAGTGTCCTTGACGAGCGTTTCTCCATCCCCGGCCCCCCACCCCAAGCCTCCTTTCCCCTTTACAACGTTTTGCTTGTTATCTCTAAAAATGCACAGACCAGTCAACCAAAGTATTTGTTCCTAAATGAAATAAAACAATTTTTTGTAAAACCAAAACCA